CCAAGAGACAGCCACATCCCGTAGTCTCCACACAGTCTACCTCCAGCTTAGCCAGCTCTGCATCGGGGCACACGTGTACCTGCCATGTCCAGGAGAGTCTCTGGTCATGAACCAAGGACCTGCCCGCTCGGGTCAGCCTTACATAGTGCTGTTACTGCTGGACCACAGTCTCTTCCCCGGTAGTCTTAAGGAAAGTTTAATATTTGGTATCAAGATTGCTTATAATCAGGCATGTAGGAATTTCACTAGGTTTAAAATTAAATGACTTAATATAAGTTCTTATTTTTATTAAGTTTTATGTCTTTTAAGCGATCTTTGTGGTGGCTTCCAAGTTTAGACTGCATTAATTACATAAAAAGATTCTCAGAGATATGGAGTCAGGGAATCTGGGGATGAATGAAAGAAATTGTATTTTTTCATGTAATTATAGCAGTTTTGTGAGCAGATCCCTGACTTGGAATATGCTGAAAATTATTGCCCCAAGTAATGGTTACAGCTCACCTGCATATGTTGAGTGCTTATCCTTGAAACCGTCGCAGTGACCTTGGGTTTGTGGTCTTTGCCTGATTTCGCGCTCCAGTGGGGAGTACGAAGCAGTGAGTAGACCGTTACAGTGCAGTGTGTGAACTGCTGTAAGTCAGAGAGGGCTACTTGCTTTCTTTTTTAAGGTAGGTCAGAGAATTAAAAACATATTTTTTTTTAAACACAATTTATTTCTTTGTTGTGGTTTTTCAAGTTGCTCGGTTTGGGACTCAAACCGCTGTGAGGCCTGTGGGAACCCAGTGCCTTACTCACCACGCCACCTGCTGGCCCAATACAGTATGATCAAGCTTACATATGAAATCTGTCATAGTTGAACTTAGGGAATTAGAGTGGAGTGATGGTTTCCAGAGATGGGGTGGGTTTGGGAAGGACGGAGAAAGGGGAGACATTGGTTAATGGGCACGCAGTTTTCGGTTAAATCAGAGTATTAAGTTCTGGTGTCCTTCTGCACAGCACCGTGACTGTAGTTAATGAAAATGTATTTAATTTAAGAGAGAGGATTTTAAATGTTGTCACCACAAACAAAATAGAAATCTTTGTGACGGATGCACTAAATAGCCTGATTTGAACATTCCACAGCATAGACATCCATCGTACCCCAAAATATATGTAATTATTTGGCAATTAGAGGACAATGCAGTGTAAAAACAAATGGGGGCGTGGTGAATTACCTTACATCAAGTAGGTGAGGGGCTGGCAGGTCGCATTGTGGTCCAGTTGCTGCACTCCCCTGTGGCCAACCACAGTTTGAGTCTCATCGGCTTGTTTTCTCTTTCTCCCTCTCTCTATCTCTCCATCTCTCTCTCTCTGTGATCAAATACAAATATAATAATAATGATAATAAATAAAATTAAATACTTCTTTCTCTTTTTTTGGGAGAGGTTTTCGCTATAGGGCGCGTGTGCTCGCCAGACAGAGACAGACAGAGAGACAGAAAGCGAGAAATCACCCCCCAGGGGGGATGGTCATGCCGCAATCCCTTCTCCTCCATCCTCCTCTCGGGATCTTGGGCACGCACGCACACACGCCCGGCGTGAGTTTTAAGCCACTGGGTCCGGGACGTGAACCGTGGTCGACTACGTGGGAGTCCAGCAACATAGCCATTACGCTAACTGCTGGCACCCTAAATAATTCTTTTTAAAAAATCAAGTGGTTGAATGAGGGATAGCCTCTTAGAGGACACACAACCAGGAATTTTGCAGGTCAAGAGTTGAGGAAGGATAAAAAGAGGAAATGTCATGTGTGAAGGATAGCTTGAATCAAAGAGTACTAGAAATTACTGTGACTGGGTCAAAGGAATAGCTAGGAGAAGTTGGCGAGATCAGACAGATAGCAGCCTCAGAGCACGCAGAGCCATCCAGGCTACGTGTTGTGCAATGAAAAGCGGGGTCTTTTTTTTTTTTAAGACGTTTTTTCTATAGGCGCGTGTGCTCGCCAGAATGACAGAGAGAGACAGAGAGACAGAAAGTGAGAAATCACCCCCCAGGGGGGATGGCCACGCCACAATCCCTTCTTCTCCATTCTCCTCTCGGGATCTTGGGCACGCATGCACACGTGCCTGGCCTAAGTTTAAGCCACCTAGTCCAGGATTTAAACTGTGGTCGACTACGTGGGAGTCCAGTGACAGAGCCATTACACTAACTGCTGGTCCTAAAACAAATGTATATTTTTAAAATTTATTTTTATTACTTTAAAAATTACTTCTTTAATTTTATTTATTATTATTATTATTTATTTGACCAGAGAGAGATACACAGAGAAAGAGAGGGAAAGTGAGAAAGCAAGTCACCAGGTCCAGTACTCGACCCGCGGTTGGCCATGTGGGAGTGTCCAGCACCTTAACCACCACACCACCTGCTGGTCCCCATTATTATTAATTTTTAAAAATTATTTTATTTTATCATTTTTGAAATTTGAACAGGTACAGAGGGAAAGTAAGTAAGTAAGTCACCAGGTATGGGAATCAAGCCACAGTTAGGCATGTGGAAGTCCAGCACCTTACCCATCATGCCACCTGCCAGCCCCATGTTACTACTTTTTAAATTTGCTATAAGGTACATGCACTCACCCGGGGGGGCGGGGCAGAGAAGAGAGAGAAAGCAAGCCACCAGGTCTGGGACTTGAACCATGATTGGCCATGTGGGAGTGTCCAACACCTTAATCGCCATGCCACCTGCTGGTCCCAAAATTTCTTTTCTTTTTTGGATAGATTTTTCGCTATAGGGCACGTGCGCTCGCCAGACAGAGAGAGAAAGAGAGACAGAAAGCGAGAAATCACCCCCCAGGGGGGATGGTCATGCCGCAGTCCCTTCTCCTCCATTCTCCTCTCGGGATCTTGGGCACGCACGCACACGCACCTGGCCTGAGTTTTAAGCCACCGGGTCTAGGATGCGAACTGCGGTCGACTACGTGGGAGTCCAGTGACATAGCCATTATGCTCACTGCTGGTTCCCCAAAATTTCGAATAAATATTGGCCAACCGCCTTCCAAGAGTTCCTATCAATTTCGTCTCACATTAAAAATGGGTGAGATGGCCATTTCTCTACCTCTTCCCTTGCAGCGTATTATGAAACTTTAAACTGTTTCCCACGTGATAGGTAACAGTTACTGCATGTGTTAAATGCACGTATATTGATCCTTTGTTTTAGAGTTTTAGAATTATTTAGTAGAATAACCATCATTTGGGGCCAGCAGGTGGCATGGTGGCAAAGGGTGCTGGCAGCCCACATGGCCCACCACTGCTTGAGTCCCAGACCTGGAGACTTGCTCTCTCTCTCTGTCCCTCTCTGGTCAAATGAAAAATAAATACAATAAAGTTAAATTTTAAAAAATGAGAATAATGAATTTACATAATCTGCCATGTTTTCATGGCAAATTTGAATTACAAAAAGAATGAGCTGACCTTATACCTAGTGATTAAGGGAATTGGATCCCACATGACTGACCAGTTTGAATCCCGTCTGTAACATGAAAAGCACACCAGACCCTTGTGCGTGTATGCCCCAATCCCAACAGGGCGGAGAAAAAGAGGGGAAGGGATTGTGGTGTGACCACGGCCTAGAGGGGGTGCCTTCTTCCTCCCCCCTTTCTCTGTGTCTTTCTCTCTCTTTCAGGGCAGTACACTTCTCCTCTGGTGTTAAAATAATACACCAGAGGGCCAGCGGATGACGTGGTGGTTAAGGCAGTGGACTTGCAGATGGACCATTGAGTCCCAGACCTGAGAGCTTGCTTTCTCACTTTCCCTGTCTCTCTCACTCTTCTCTGTCTTTGTAGTCAAATTGAAATAATAATAATAAAGTTAAATAAAATAATTATTTTTTAGAGACTTATTTAATTTTATTAACTCATTTATTTATTTTCATTTGACCAGAGAGAGAGAGAAGGAAAGTGAGAAAGCAAGCACTGGGTCATGAACTCAAACCATGGTCAACCATGTGTGAGTGTTCAGCTCCTTAACTACCACGCCACCTGCTGTTCCCAGTAAAATAATTTTTTAAGAAAATACACTAGGGGGGACCAGCAGTTGGTGTAATGGCTATGTCACTAAACTCCCATGTAGTTGACCACAGTTTAAGTCCTGGACCCGGTGACTTAAAACTCAGACTGGGCATGTGTGCGTGCGTGGCCAAGATCCCGAGAAGAGACTGGAGGAGAAGGGATTGTGGTGTGGCCATCCCCCCCCGGGGGGTGATTTCTCACCTTCTGTCTCTCTGTCTCTGGTGAGTACATGTGCTCTACAGCAAAAATCACTCCAAAAAAACAAACACTCACTAGGAACCATTTTATCTTTATGGGAATTTTTGTTTTGATTTCATTTAGTGTTTGTTTGTTTGTTTGTTTCTTAGAGGTTTTCCCTTAAGCATGCATGCGCTCACTGGAGAGAAGGAGAGAGACAGAGACAGTGAAAGGGAAAGTGAGAAGTCACTTTCCCAGGTTGGCCATCCCACAATCCCTTCTCCATTCTCCTGCCCAGATCTTGGGCATGCACACACATACATGTACCCAGCATGATTCTCAAGCCACAGGGTCTGGGACTTGCACAGTGACCACAGCCATTGGCCATGTGGGAGTCCAGTGACATAACTGCTCCGCCACCTGTGGCCCCTTCATTTAGTTTTTTTAATTGCCAGAGACGTGTGTGCTCTTCAGAGAGAGGGAACGGGGTAGGGAGAAGGTACCCTCGGCGGGCCAAGGTCACGCCAGTTTGTTCTCTGCTTCTCCATCCCGTTGTGACTCTGCACGTGTACAGACCTGCACCCAGTGTGTGTTTCCAGCCACTGGGGCCACCCTTTGAGCCATGGGCAACTACGACAGGTGGGGCTCTCCTAACCATAGGCCATAGGCTGGCCCTGCTTTTATTTTGTTTTTCTTTTTATTTTCTTTCTTTTTTTTTTAATAGCAGTTTTAGGTTCACAGCAAGATTGCAAAGAAGGTACAGAGATCTCCCATCCACTTCCCTCCCTACTCCCACACACCCCTGTGGTTTACTAATTTTTATGTTAAATAGTAATTTCAGTATAAGGTTTCTTATACGTTATTGGAAGTTTTCAGGTTGTTAGCCTTTCTTAGATTTTTTTAAAAAGAATTATTTCATTAATGCTCTTTATAATTATCATTATTTTAAAATTTCCTATAGGGCACATACACTCACCAGATAGACAGACAGAGACAGAGAGAGAGAGAATGGAAAAAGCAAACCTCCAGGTCCAGGACTCAAACTGGGGTTGGCCATGTGAGAGTCTAGTACCTTAACCACCATACTCTGCTGACCTCTCTCAGATATTTTAAATGTTATTTAGTTCATTTGAAAATAGAAACTGTCAATCTTTTATATGTAGTTTTAAAATGTATATTGTGAATTTCAGTGATTTTAAAACTGGCAACCAAACTACATTTCGTATAAGGTGTTGAGTTTATTTTGTTAGACATCTGATTGTATATTTGTCTTCTACCCATGAGATTTATTATTTTATCTAGCTTATTGCTTGAATCTTTATCTTTTTCTGCCTAGGTTTAATAGAAGCCGTACAGCCAAGTTAGTTTTTGTTGAATATATTCGTATATATTTCATTGTTATCTAATGAAAATGACACCTTTACAAACTGTGTTTAGGTCTGCATGAATTTGATGCCTTGAAGGATCCAGAAGTGAATGAATTTCGAAGGAAAATGCGCAAATTCAGCGAGGAAAAGATTCAGTCGCTGGTTGGATTGTCTTGGATGGACTGGCTGAAGCAGACATACCCACCCGAGCATGAGCCGTCTGTCCTTGAAAACTTAGAAGATAAACTTTATGGAGGGAAGCTCATCGTGGCTGTTCATTTTGAAAATAGTCAGGTAGCATTTCATCTGTTAAAGAAATGTTTTGTAATAGAACTATTATTTTTACCCGACTGCAACTCTAGTCTTAGATGTATCTTTCATTTGCCTTGTAAACGCTATTGCTAAGAATCGTTATAGATTTAAGGTGGAAATGGTGGGTCGTCGGAAAAGCCTTGGTCTATTTTCCTATTTTTCTATGCAAAAATGTATCGTGACTTTCCGATTTGTTTTATTTTTTTTTCAGAATTATTTTATTTGACTGTATTTATTTATTTTAATTTGACCAGAGAGGGACAGAGAGAGGGAAAGTGAGAAAGCAAGCTGCCAGGTCTGGGACTCAAACTGCAGTCTGCCATGTGAGAGTCCAACACCCTTCACCACCACGCCACCCCCCATGTATTTTTTTTTTTAAGAATCGTTTATTTAATTTTATTTATTATCATCATTACTATTATTATTTTCTTATTTTTAAATTTTATCAGACAAAGACACAGAGAGAGGAGAAAAGTGAGAAAGCAAGCTGCCAGATCCAGGACTTGAACTGTGATCAGCCGTGTGGGAGTCCAGCACTTTAACCACCATGTCACCTGCCAGCCCATTCTGACGCATTTTCGTATAGAAAAATAATGTCATGGCTTTTCCAGTGACCTAATGTTTACAGTTATTTGTAACAGTCTAAACTGGCTTGCTTTGTAAATATATGAGGTTTGTTTTTTTTTTAATAGAAGTATTTAATTTTACTTATTATTTTAATTTACTATAAGGCCTGTGTACTCACCAGAGAGAGGGAAAGTGAGAAAACAAGCTGCCAGGTCTGGGACCTGAACCAGTTGGCCATGTAGGAATCCAGTGCCTCAACCACTTCATCATCTGCCGGCCCCATATGTGATTTCTCGATGCAGAGGAATGATAATTTAGAACAGTGCCAGCAAAATGTACTATTTAATTGGAAGGGATTAAAAAATAAAACTGAAAGCATTATAAAGGGATGTTTAAGGTAAGAAGCCAGGGAAAAAAACGTCTAACAGAGACCCATGTTTACTCCTTCACAGAAAAAGTTTCCCAAGCCCTGGTTTAATGTTCATTTTCTTTCTTCCTTTCTTCCTTTCTTTTTTTTTTCTTCCTCTAGTTTTTGCTGTAGTGCACTTACACTCACCAGAGGGAGATGAGAGAGACAAAGAAAGGAAAGTGAGAAATGACACATGCCTGTCCCCACCACCCCCTGCCTGGGGGGAGGAGAGCCGCTGTGCTGTCCCACCTCCTCCAGGCTCCTCTCGGGATTCTCGGTGTACACGCACAAATACCCAATGTGCTTTTCAGGCTGCTGGATCCGGGAGTCAAACCACTCCGTCATCCATCTGGGATCCAATCCTTTAATCTCCACGCCAGCAGCTGGCCCTGGTTTCGTGTTCTTTACTGCAAATAATTTTTTCCTGTGAGTTTTTCTTTTTATTCTTTGTACATGGACACTAAAGGCCTAGGGCCACCAGGTGGCGTGGTGGTTAAGATACTGGACACCCACGTGGCAAACTGCAGTTTGAGTCCCGGACTTAGGAGCTTGAAAATTATGCTGGAGACGTGTGCACGCACGCCCAGTATCCTGGGAGCAGATGGAGAAGGAATTGTGGCATGACCCTCCCTCGGGGAGACGAGTTCTCACTTCTCTAGCTCTGTATCTCTCTGTCTCTACTTCCTACTGATCCTTCACACTCCATGACCAAAAAAAAAAAAAAGAAAGAAAAGGAAAGTCCTGATTAAAAGAATCCTGTTTCCGTATTCTTACATCCACAGTCTGTAAATACAGGAAACAAGTGTATGGAATAGAGGATTATGATGGGCCTAATTTATATGTAAATATCCATATGTAAATATTTACAGCAGTTACTCAGACTAAATTACGCTACTGCCTTCCTGTCAAGTATGGTCATTCCGCCCTCTCGGGTCTGGCCTTAGATCAAGGCATGAATTGAAGGCTTTTGTTCTGAATTGCTCTGATACCGACAGCAAAGACAGCTACCCCAGGAGCTGCCCTGTAACCCTGGCTTTCTGGCTGTACCAGGGAGGATGCAAGGTACTTTCCTTCATTCTTCAAGTCCCAGAACTGGGAAAAAAGCCAAGTGTTGCGGTTTTGTTTGTTTGTTTGTTTACCATTTTGTAGTAAGAGACTAATAAGGAAAGAAGTTTGCTGATTTGTTCCAAGAGTTATAGCTGATTAGTGGTAGAACCAGGGTTCATCCACATATCTTTGATTTTTCCCAGTTTTGCTGCCTTCTAGACACGTTAGTAAGTATTTGTTAGGGTGGGTGTGAAGTAAAGGATCTTGTCTCAAGCGTTTTCCCTCAGCAAAATAGCTCGTCTAGGAAAGAACACAGTCATTCTGTCTTGAGATGGGTTGAGACCGAAACTCTATGTAAGCCACGACGTAGGACCGACCTCATGGCCTAGTAATTAAGGAAGCTGGATCCCACATGGCCAAGCCTGGTTTGAGTCTCAGCCTCAGTGGCTTGAAAAACATGTTGGGTGCTTGTGCGTGCATGCCCAGACCCAGACAGGATGAACTAGGACAGAAGGCACTGAGGCGTGGCCCTGCCCCAGAGGGGATGCTTTCTCTTTCTCTCTGTCTCCGTCTGTCTGGTGAGTGCAGGTGCCCTTTGGCATTCAAATATGTATGTATTTAAGCAAGGTTGAGTATTATAAAATGTCATGATCTAATTTCAAATAAAATTTAAATTTAAAATATAGGGGGGACCAGCAGGTGGCATGGTGGTTATAGCACTGGACTCTTACATGGCTAGCTGCTGTTAAGAGTCCCAGTGGCTTGAAACTCACGCCAGGGTCTGTGTGTGTGTGTGTGTGTATGTGTGTGTGCACGTGCACGCCCAAAATCCGAAGAAGAAAATGGAGGCAAAGGAATTGAGGTATGGCCACTTCTCTGGGGAATTCTCACTTTCTCTCTCTCTCTCTCTCTCTCCAGTGAGTGCTTGTGTCCTATAGCAAAAATCTCTTTAAAAAATGCTAGTTAGGGTATCCTACAAGTTTGAATGAGGTGAATAGAGACCTTTTCTATTAAAAGGTAATCAGAATTCAACTTGGAAACACTGGCTGTGGATAATTTACCTATCTAGGTCATGCCAAATTTCATTACAGGTGGGTCAAATCTCTCCTGGAGAGACGAATTTTTAGATTTTTGTCATAGGATATGTGCTGGAGAGAAACAGAGAGGGAAGATGAGAAATCAACCCCCAGGGGGGATAGCCACGCGACAGCCCCTTCCCCTTCATTCTGCTCTCCAGATTTTGGGCATGCACACATGCGTGCCTGGCGTGATTCTCAAGTTGCTGAACCATGATCAGCCATGTGGGAGTCCAGCCACCGGCCTGCTGGCCCATGGATATGTAAATTTTAATATAAGCATTCTTGCAACAAAGTATACGTGAAAGAAAGTGTTTTGAATTTAGAAAGATGGAGACATTGTAAAGTCTTGCTGGATTCCAAGAAGTCATAGAATTTAAGGTTGAAAGGAGGCTAGAGATGATGTAGTCAGAATCTTTGTATATATAATAAATCCCTTCTGCCGTCTCTGATAGTGTGTGTATTCCGTGTGCTGTGTGTCAGTGCTGGGCGCGATCTGCCTCCTAAAGAAGTGTGTTTACGGTGGGCAAGGATACGATGAACTTTCTTTTTTCTATTTTCCTCGGGGTTTTGGGCACATTCGCACACATACTTGGAGTGGTTTTCAGGCTGCCGGATACCAGACTCGAACTGTTTTTGGTCATGTGGGAGTCTAGCGTGTCGACTACTGCACCACTTTCTGGGCCCTACAATTAATGTTTCTACCCTTCTTGGCTTGGTTTTCTGTTTTGGGTAAGTTTCCGAGTGAAACTCTCTTCGTTCTGAAGTCCAGATACCCAGATAATGAAATGCAGCTACCATTGCCTCTCCCTAGTCTCCTATTCTCCTGGAAAAAAAAAACGTTTTCTCAAGGGCTAACCGAAAAGTTCCTAGATTTTTGAATTGTATAGGTAATTAAAATTTTAAGGTGTTGAAGAATTTTGTGAAGTTACGAAAGAATTTATAGAATTTGTTTAGCCAAGTAAGGACATTTTTCTGGGTGGCTTTTTTTTTTAAAAAAAAAAATCTTTGTTTAATTTGACATAGGGCATGTATGCTGATTGGAGAGAGAGAGAGGAAGAGACAGATAGAGAGGGAAATGAGAAAAGACATCCTGGGGGGATGGCCAGGCCACAGTCCCTTCTCCTCCCTTTTCCTTTTGGGATTTGGGCACCACGTACACGCTCTGCGTGTGTTTCAAGCCACTGGGTCTAGGACTCAGCTTCTTGGTCGACCACGTGGGATCCAGCCACCTTAACTGCTGTGCTCCACGCTGGCCCCCAGGTAAGGGCATTTTTAACAATCTAGAACCAAGATGTGTTTTATGACTGAGTAAACACATTACCGCCAGAAAAGGTAAGAATGACGTAATCGCAGAATAAAATAGAGCTGGCAGCCTGCTCCTTCAAACATGCTTGCTCTTCCCCTCTCATTACTGCGAAATTCTCATTTGACCTTTTATTTGGTGTCAGCTGCTAATGACCCGCGCTGGTCTGTGGGAGGAGTTACCTGGAAAGGCGGGTTAGAGACGTGTCCATTAGGTTAAAAGTGGTCGTCTCAGATTGGGCGGGAAACGAGCCATCAGTCTCTGTGATCGACAGCAGACATTTTAGATGACCACATAGTCAGTATTCTGCCAGCCGTAAAACATGGCTCTTCAGAAGTGAGATAAATACAGTCGGGAGCCTATCGTGTCTCAGGTCTCTTATGTTACAGTTCCAGGGATCAACTCACAGATGCATTTTAAAAAATATTTATTTAATTTTATTTGTAATATTATTTTTTAATTTGACGAGAGAAGGAGAGAGACAAAGTGAGAGAGCAAGCCACCAAGTCTGAGACTCGAACAGTGGTCAGCCATGTAGGAGTCCAGCACCTTAACCACCACGCCCCCTGCTGGCCCT